GAATCATTATTACTTGTATAAATAAGCATTTGGATTAAAGCCGTGCCCAAAGGCCGCAGGCAGCATGGGGATGGCGTTGTGATAGGAGCTGCACACACGGGAAGAAGCAGTCTGGAAAGATGATGATCTACTTCAGAGCAAACAAAAGAGGCCAAAGGTGTTTGTCTTCCACAGATCTGGTGGCTTCCCAGTCAGAGGGCCAGGGTAATGAGCTGGTCTGGGGGAGATTCAACCCTGTCTGGGGCAGATTTAGCCGTAGTTCCTGGCTGGAAGCAGTCAGGGATCAGCATGAGTCATCCTTCAGGGCTGCAGGAAGGCTGGAGCAGACAGCAGCAAGCTGTCTGGAGAAAAAGCAGCTGTGCCATGCCTCTGGCCTATTGAAGCAGCTCCTTGCTTAGGCCTGACCTAGCTCCTGCTTCTGGGTCCCCAGTCCTGACTGCAGCTCTGAAATCCCCAGCCTGCCTCCTAACTCCACGTCTTGATCTCAACTTCTGACTTCATTTCCCCAACCCGAACTCCAGCCCCGAGCTGCTGGGGCCTGCCCTCCTCCCCCAGGTGCCCTGCTCTAATCGTCCATGCCTTCATCCCTCGCAGGCACATCTTTGACTGGAGTAAATCTGCATCCAAGCTGCAGCTGGTTGGGTGCATCTTTTCACCCTGTTACAAAGGAATAACTCCGGTGGTATGGCTCGGTGCATATGGAAAGGTGTGTGTGTGTTGTGGTGACAGGGTCGAGTGCACCTCTCTGCCACATGAGTACACCCTCTTATGTGCCAGGTCTCTTCTTTTGGGGTGGAATGGCACGATTCTCCCACTCTTAGACTAACACCCTGTGCATCCACCATGTGCTCCCAGCAAGGGCAGCCAGGTACTGGCACCTGCGGAGAAAAGAGGGCCTGGATATCCTTCGCAAGCCAAAGTACCATTTACTCTAAATGAAGCATTGTCTAATCTTAACAAGCAATGCTCTCCTTGCACATCTGGATCACTTAGAGACGGATGGGGACCCTGCAGCTTCTGAATTCCCAAATACCCCAACCTCTGGAATCTGGTTTCTCAAATTGTGCCTCTCCTTGAGGCATCCCTTCAGGGTGATGGAGTCACCACTGGGGAAAATACAACGGACAGGTCCATCAGGAGCATCCAAGGGAATGGCTCCTACCTTGTCCTTGCTTTGGAAGGGCATAGGTAGGGTCCACTTCCCATTTCGGGGTGGATTTCCTAGAAATACAGCAACGGAGTAAGTGCGACGCATGCAGAGAATAAACATCACAGTAACTGGGTCAAGATACAATATTCATAAGTGATTACAGGCATTTCCAAATCCAGAACAGTGGGGTTCAGAAGGAGGCTAGGATTTCAGAGGAGCCTGAGATTATCAGCACCCAGCTCATTATGTTGCACAGAAAATCCCAGCCTAAAGTCCTCCTCTGCTGCAGGGATTGGGAGCTCTCCAGGCCATGCTCTCCATGGCTCTGAAATGAGGACCTGAATTGCAGTAAACCCATGATTCAGCTCCTCATTAAAGCATCACACAAGGCAGCATGCACTGAAGAGAACAGGCTAAGGACTTGTCTAGGATCAGACTCCTTTGCTTGCTTAAGGTAATGAGATGAAGTGCTTGACGGGTTGCTTGGCCTTGGTCAAATCACTTAGCCTCCTTAGCTGTAAAATAGACAGGAGTTCCCAGCCTCAAGCTGCCATGTGCAGGCTTAGGTGATTTTAGGGTAGGCTCACGAAGGCACAGAAGTCAAGGACCCAGAGCTGGAGAATAGCAGAGCGAAGGCTGCCTGTGCAATCTTAACGCATTCCTCTTGTGTGCGCGTTATGATGCAGTCTCCAACAACCTGACTTCTTCTCATCGTATGTTAACATTCAATGCATTAACATTATAGGTTAACATTCAATGCGCGTCCCCAGGCTTTGATTGCTGCCCCCCCAGCACACCTGGGCTGAATAGATTTCATAGACATTAGGGCTGGAAGGGACCTCAGAAGGTCCCTTCATTAAGCTTCATTAAGCTCCTTCAGGGCATTTCTGTAATGCTCTCACCACACTACCCAAGTGCTTTTTAAACATCAGTGGATTAATATTCACATGGCAGTGCATAGGAACAGCAAGGGTAAGGCAGGACTTCAATCAAGCTCTTGCATAGAGCAAAAACATGATTAAGATGTGGGTCTGCCAAGGTATTGAGGCATCAAACTCCTACTGACTTCAATGGGAGAGTTAGGATGTGAATGCAGGCCAAAGTGATTTCAATTTACCTCCATTTCTGAGTTTCAATATGAGGCACCTGAAGAGGGCAAGAATTTGGGAGGGATGGTACTTGGGACTGTCTGAATATCTGGCACTGATTGCACTCTTGTCTTTGCTGCTCACTGGGAAACACTTCTGTTACTACTTGCGGTTTGGTCTCTGCTGCCATTAGACGGTACTCGGCCATGAAAATCACATGGGACAAATGTGGCCAGGTCTAAGCTACAGCATACTGGATGAAAACCGTCTACTTTTCTGCAGGACCCTGCCTCCTTCAGACGAGGTATGATGAGCAGAGCTCTGGGAATGACTCCGGGTTGGGTAGGGAAGGAAGATACCATTGGTAGATCCTCTACCTCAAGGGCTTTTGTTGGCTTTGCACATCATCCAGGTGATGCCATGGCTATGCAAAATGAAAAATGATCTAGTCGGGGCTGGTCCTGCTTGGAGCAGGGGGTTGGACTAGATGTGACCCCCTGAGCTCCCTCCAGCCCTCATTGTCTGTGAGTCTAAAAAAGCCATCAGCGTATCCTGTGTCCTCACCAAAGGACTTGGCCAACATAACTGCAGCATCCGAGGCTCCTGAAGTGTGAACAGGCCCCTTGCAATCCCCCGCCCCCATGAAAGAAACCACAGATCTACACTCACAGAGCAGTAAGGCTGGAAGGGATGCCAGAGGTGTAACCCCCTGCCCAAAGCAGGATCATCCCTGTCCAAACCCAGTGTCCAACCTCTCAGCAACACTACGGAGTCAACCCTGACACCACCACGTGACATAGCCCCCGAACCTGCCACCAGCAAAGCAAGGAGACCACGGTGGCCAACGTCCCACCACTGCAACAGCTGTTAAAATGCAATGAAGTGCTGATGTCTTCGCCCTTTTTTACGTATGCTGCTGAAAGAGCCCTCGTTCAGAACAACGCCTTTAGTCTCGAGGTCGGTGGGCTCCCTCCATCTAGGTCTCTGCACCCTCCCACCTTGTTGCAAAGTAGAGATCACGGTGTTTCGTGCCGATTGCCAGCCGAGCCCCACTCCTCGCTTCAGCAGACGGGGGAGCGGGGCAGGCAGGTATGACCCAGCGATGCCCAGGCTGGCGGGAAACCCACCTTTGGGGTGGGACGCAGGCAGGGAAGCAGCTCCAGGATGCTCTCAACTCTCCACCCAGCCCCAGTTTGCCAGGCTGCGAATAAGGCACAGCAGCTGGGCAAGGACCTGCCACTCCACGCTGGGTGCCCGCAGCATCCCCATCTCCCCGCTGAACACCGTGGAGGTCTCTTGCTTAAGGAGCCCATCTCCGTGCCAGCGGGAGGCTGCTTACATAACGGCAGAAGAAAGAGCGCGTCCCCTGCACGGGCTCGGGTCGCAGCCCCGGCGTGCAAGGGCAGGTGCCGATGAGAAGGCAGAGAGGGGCAGGAGCTGGGTGCAGGGCTGCAAGGGGAGCGGGGGACGGGAGGGGGGGACTAGAGAGCATTGCCCCTGCCCTGCTGGCAAGCGCCCTGCACGCCGAGGATGCCGAGCAGGAGGCAGGGGTGGGCGCAGCGAGCCGCCCCCTCCCCCGCGAGTGACAGGCGCATCCTCGCACGCGGGCTATAAGACCGCAGGAGGACGCGGGCGGCTGCCCAGTAGCGGCGGCTGCGAGCAGGGAGCAGCCCATGGAGCTGTCCACGCTGCCGGGTGCTGAGCGCCCCAACGCCACCGAGCTGGACCCCTTCCCCAGCCAGAGCTTCAATGGCACCCAGGGGACCCCGGCCAAGAACGCCACCTCCATCATCATCGCCATCGCCATCACCGCCCTCTACTCCGTGGTGTGCGTGGTGGGGCTGCTGGGCAACGTCCTGGTCATGTACGGCATCGTCAGGTACGCGCCGCGCCGCGCCACGCAGGGTGCCCAGGGACCGGATGCCCCACTCGAGGCTTGGTCTTCAGCGTGGCCAAGGACGGAGACCCCGCTGTTGCTTTCCCGTGCCCGTGTGTCCGGGGATGGACAAGGGCGAGCAGAGCCCACGCGCGGGGGGTGGAAAGACAGGGCTGAGAGAAGGGGGCAGGGGGGGATAGGGCAGGCTATCGGGAATGGCACAGGGGACAGAGATGTGTGCATGCATGTGTGTATGTGTATGTGCCAAGTGTGCGTGTGTGAAGTGTATGCGAGAGAACAGTGGGGTTAGCATACAAGAGAGTGACTGTGTGTGTGTGTGTGTGCGCGCGCGCGCTCGTGTCCACGGGAACAGTGTATGCAGGGATAGTGCATGCACAGAGGAACGGTGTGTGTGTTGGTGTGAACAGTGCACCAGGACAGCAGGTGAGAGCAGAGAGTCGGGGTGGGGGTGGGATAGCATTGGTGCAAGAGGGGAGCCAGCCTCTGCCAACAGACTGAGGGGGTGTGTGTGTGAGAGAGAGAGAGAGATAGCAAAGCACAGAGCAGGAGGGAGGGAAGGAAGAGATTGTGTGTGTGTGTGTGTGTGTGTGTGTGTGTGCAGACTTGTGCACACTGGAGGAGAAGGGGAAGCAAAAAGCACCCCTAAAACCACTGATTCCAAATGCTGCACATGCCTACAAACCCCTGCTGTGGTTCCTAGAGTCGAGGAGGCAGTGTGCAAGCAGCGTGGTCCTAGTGAGCACAGCGTGCAGCGCTGGGAGAGGCGAGAAGTTGGGATCCGGGGAAATGGCAGCACACTGAAAAGGTCTGGCAGCAAAGCCATGGCCCGTCCCCCTCAATGCCAGCGTATGTCAAGGGGGTGAAACCCGGCGCTGCCCACATGCAGGCTGAAAGCGCTTTGCTCACACGTGGCATTTTCTGTGCATCGCACAGCTGGGCTGTGGCTGGGCAGAGGGAAGAGGTTGCATCTCTCAGCAGGCATCGCTTCCCCCATCGAAGCCAACAGAGCTAATCTAACTTGCGCCCGCTGATAAACCGAACCGCTGCAGAGAATGGTTTCCAAGCCACGACGAGCTGACCATGCAGCCCCCTCTCAGATGGGCTCCGGCGGAGACCCCCAAACATCCTTGCACAACCCAGAATAGAGATCCTTGTTCTTTTTGACACATGCAGAAAAGATCATGGGCCCCAACTCTTTTCTCATGCAACACAGGGACACAGATAACAGCAGATCTCCCCCTGAGGACTGGCCTGAGGCTCAAGCTAACATTAGCCAGAGAGAGGGGCATGATTTCTTGCCAACGGAGAGGAACGGATGCCAGTTTCCCAGCTAGAAGCCCGATCCAAAGCCTATTGAAGTTAATGGGAATTTTTCCACTGACTTCACTGGCTAGCCCAGTGGAGTTGGTAGCAAACTAGGTGCTGGAAATGTAGAGCTAGATCCATAGCTGGTGTGAATTGGTGCAACTTTTTTCTGACTGCAGTGGAATCGCTGCTGGCTGAGAATCCAGCCCCGAGTCCGCAGCGTCTCTCCCAAGAGCACGCTCTCCCTGCTCTCATTCATCCACCCAGTCACCCAGGGCTCTTTGCCTGATGTAGTCTTCTTTCCCCCACCCTGTCTGCTGTCCTCCTGGACACTCCTAGCTGCCCGCAAGGAAAGGCCAGTTTGCATTGGCATGGGAAGAGCATGGGAAGCTGTAGTTACCACGGGCACTGGGCCGTTATCTCCCTCCCATTGCAAGCCTCCCATCAGCTCACCGGACCTGCCCGTAACGTTGATATCAGCCATACGAAATCACAATGCTAAGGGCCAGGGGATGATGCCCCGACTCGCACCATGAGCGGGTCGATCGGCCTGACCGAGAACACGTAGGGAGCAAACGCGCCATCACAACCCTCGGTGAATTTTACTGCAGCTATTATCACTATTTGTGAGAGTATCCCTATAACGGCCAGGGGTCCGAATCCTGGAGCAGCATCCTCACATGCAAGGTGCTGTACAAGGGGTTGCAAGAGGGCTTTCCGCCTTTGTGGGGCTTTATCTCCTCTTTTAAAGGCCAGGTTTGAACACCGAAAGCTGGGTGATATAAGTTGTGCACTACACCACCCCCACTCAGATATTTTAATAGTCTTTGGCTCTTAAATGGTTTTTTTTTTATTTGTGCACCTCAAAGTGTTTCACCTGCTCAGCTTAAGATTTATCCCCATTTTACAGGTAAGAAAACTGAGGCACGGAGTAATGAAGCAGTTTGCTCACGGTCACCCGGGGATTCAGTAGAAGAGCCCAGATCTCAGCTCTCTAAGCACAAAGCTGCCTTGGGAGCTATGATTTTTGGAGCAGGGATTTGAGCCTCCCTATCCCACAGCCCCAGGGGAGAGAGAGCCTTGACACTGGCTACAGAGCCTGTCTCTCTGGCCCAAGGAAGATTTCATTACCATATTTATGTACATATTTCTCTCCCCCCTCCCCACCATGTTTTGGGAAGGAAGAAAGGGGTATTTTTCCTTTTAACCAAACTGCTCAGAATCAGTTTCCCCATCTAAGACAGGCACCCCAACTTT